AATCTGGTTGGTATTTTTCTCAAGGGAGTTATTTAAATTTTAAATGGAACAACATCTCATTTAGAGTTCTACAAATATGCTAAGGCACAGAAGTAATTTATATGTACATGAAACTCTTCACTTAAGCACCTGGGTACTTGACAATAATTAAAATACAAAATAGACATATTAACTTTTCCTTTTAACTTTCCACCTTTTTCTTCTTCATGGAGAGAGAGGAAATTTCTGGAGTATTTGTCAAGTATCTACAAGTCCTTTTTCCCAGTACCATATAATGCCTGACTACAATTACTTCCTGAAATTCTTTCTGTTGCATCTTTCCAAAGCTATCGTCTCTACTTCCCTTATATATGCATTGTCTATCTCCAGAATGCGGTATTTCTGGAACTGCCAGTCCATTTTATGCCACTTGCCAATACTAAGCATTTATCTCACTTTAATGCCAGCAATATATTGTAAAAAATTGAAAAGACAATAGAAGTTATCAAAATGATGAAAGTACTGAAAATTGAAAATTTCTACAACAGTTTCAATAATGACCTAGGTATGGATAATTTTTATAGTTATGTCATTGATCCCAAATCTCCATACTCATCTCTACCATCATTAACTGTCTTAAAAAGGACATAACTTAAGGGAACCAGCAGTTAGCGTAATGGCTATGTCGCTGGACTCCCATGTAGTCGACCGCGGTTCACGTCCCGGACCCGGTGGCTTAAAACTCACGCCGGGCGCGTGTGCGTGCGTGCCCAAGATCCCAAGAGGAGAATGGAGGAGAAGGGATTGCAGTGTGACCATCCCCCCTGGGGGGTGATTTCTCACTTTCTGTCTCTATGTCTCTCTCTGTCTGTCTGGCGAGCGCACATGCTCTATAGTGAAAAATCTCTCCAAAAAAAAAAAAAAGGACAAAACTTAAATTAGTGGTCCTGTCCTTAGGACCAGCAGATGGCATAATGGTTACATCACTGTACTCCATTGTAGTTGACCACGGTTTGAGTCTTGGACCTGGTGGCTTGAAATTCACACTGAGCACATGTGTGTGTGTGTGTGTGTGTGTGTGTGTGTGAGACCAAATCCCAAGAAGAGAATGGAGAAGAAATGATTGTGGTGTGACCATCCCCCTATGAGGGTTACTTTTTGTCTCATTGGTAAGCACACATGCCTTATAGCAAAAATTTCTCAGGATCAGCAGTTGGTCTAAAGGCTGAGTTGCTAACCCCCATGTAGTCGACTATGGCTTGAGTCCCAGACCTGGTAGCTTAAACTCACACCGGGTGCATGTGCGTGCATGCCCAAGAGCTTGAGAGGAGACTGGAGGAGAAGGGAATGGGGGGTGATTTCTCGCTTTCTGTCTCTCTTTCTGGAGAGCACACACACCTTATAGCAAAAACCTCTCCAAAAAAAAAAAAAGAAAGAAAGAAAAGAAAAGAAAGAAAGAAAAGAAAAAAAAATTCTCAGAAATAAATAAATAAATAAAAAGATAAATAAATCAGTGGTTCTTAAAATGTGACACCCAGAAATGTCAGCATTGAGTCTGTCTCAGACCTATTTGATCAGAAACTCGGAGTGGGGGAAAGCAGTGAGGCTCTCTGATACGCATTTTTTTTCTTCTTTTTTTTTTTTGTTCTTCTTTTCTTTCTTTTAGTTTTGCTATAGGGTCCATGTGCTCACCAGAGAAACAAAGAGAGTGGTGAGGAAGAGTGAGAAATCACCCCCAGAGGGCATGGCCATGCAGCAATCTCCTCCACTCTTTTCCTGGGATTTGGGGCACACACGCACATGTTCCTGGCATTTTTTTTCATGGTGCTGAGTCTGCAACTCGATCCACACAGTCTGCCATGTAGGATCCAGCCACTTTAATCACCATGCAAATAGGCTGGCTCTGACATGTGTTTTAATCAGCCCTCCAAGTGGTACTGATGCACACTGAAGTATGAACTGACCCTGAAATTATTATTTTTTCAAATTTGCTGGAGGGTACCTGCACTTTCCAGAAACAGAAAGAAGAGGGAGAAAGCACCTCTGATGGGGTGTGGTCACACTAAGAATCTCTCCATTTTCAATCCTGTCAGGATTTAAGGCATGTGCTCAGAGTCAGGGTCAGGATTCAAACTGTGGTTGGCAATGTGAGATCCAGTTCCTTAACTAGTAGGAGGATACAGGCTGGCCTCTTAATGTGTTGAATCTAGCAGTTTCCTTTTCCTTTCCTATTTTTATAAAGTTGTTATTCTTATCAATAGCATTACAATCACCATAATTTATTAACAGTGAAATCTTAAAGGTATTTTTTTTGGGGGGGGGAGGTTTGCGCTCGCCAGACAAAGAGAGACAGAGAGACAGAAAGTGAGAAATCGCCCCCCAAGGGAGATGGCCATGCCGCAATCCCTTCTTCTCCATTCTCCTCTCGGGATCTTGGGCACATATGCACACGCACCCGGCATGAGTTTTAAGCCACCGGGTCCAGGACGCAAACCACGGTCGACTACGTGGGAGTCCAGCAACATAGCCATTATGCTAACTGCTGGTCTCCTTAAAGTTGTTTTTGTTCTTCTTTGTTTTGCCTTCTTTTTCAGTCCTTCATCATTAGGGCTGCCTATTTTGTGACCAGAGTATTCTAAAACATCTAACATCTTATTTAGTTTAGGCTACAAAGTAGAATCCCAAACCTTGTCCAATAAACCAGAGGATATCCTCTCTGCAGTCTTTAATTCTGTATCATGTTAAAAATAACACTTCTTATACACTGATTTTATTTTTCAGTCCACATCTCAAGAACAAGGCTATATGGGTCTCGATGGTGGCAGGGTAAAGTACAATGCTGTGTGAGGCAATCTTGCATGGAAGGTCCTTAGTTCTTCTCTAGAGACCACCCCGAGTATACCAGGCACGCATGTGTCCATGATCCAGAGCTGGATAAAGCTCGGGGCAAATCATGGCACCCAAAAACCAGCTGGGAAGCTCTGGCTCATGGAAAAACTAAGTTAAAAAAGACCAGTGTTGGGACCAGCCGATGGTGTAATGGTTATATCGCTGGACTCGCACATACTCAACCGTGGTTCAAGTTTCAGACCCGGCGGCTTAAAACTCACACTAAGTGTGTTTACATATGTGCCCAAAATCCCAAGAGGAGACTGGAGGAGAAGGGATTGTGGCGTGGCCATCTCCTCTGGGGAGTGATTCCTTGCTTTTTGTCTATCTCTCCAGCAAGCTTATGTACCCTATAGCAAAAATTTCTCTTAAGAAAAAGACCAGTGTTTTTTTATTTCGAACCAAAATACAATGTTCTTGCTTGTCCTTTGAGGCCTCCTCCCATCAACATATCCCTGCCTTAGTTTTATTCCTCAAGCTCTAGCAAAGCCAGTCTCATTGACTTTTCACTTCTTTTGGACTTCGTGTTTCTCATATTTCTTTTATCTGGAATGCCTCCCCCTCCTTTCCACCACTCTCTATTCTCTGCCTATTGAAAATCCAATCACATTTTTTGAATCAGAACTCTAACTTTATCATTCAGTATTTATTTTTACTCTGTGGTAACTGTATTATATTTTCCCTAACTGGTATGTTTCTTTCTCATTATTCTGAAGATGATACAATGTAAGTACTCTCCAGCTTTATATCTTTTTTTTTTTTTTTTTTTAGTTTTTTCCTATAGGGTGCATGTACTCACTGGAGAGACAGAGAGCAGAGAGACTGAGAGTGAAAAATCACCCCCTAGGGTGGATGGTCATGCCACAGTCTCTTCTCCTCCATTCTTCTCAGGACTCTGGGCATGCAGACACACATATCTGGCGTAAGTTTTAAGCCACTGGGTCCAGGTCTTGAACCATAGTCAACTACATGGGGGTCCAGTGACATAACCATTATGCCATCTGCTGGGCTCATCTATATCCTTTTACCATTTAATATTAATTCCCTCTATAATGCTTAGCATAAGACCCAGGACCTGGTCATCTGACTTAAAAGTAGGTAAAAGTGGGACCAGCAGATGGCATAATGGCTACATTGCTGGACTCCCATGTAGTGTACTGTGGTTTGAATCCCAGACCCAGTGGCTTAAACTCATGCCAGGCCCATGTGCGTGCGTGCCCAAGATCCTGAGAGGAGAATGGAG